TGTGTGTGTGTGTGTGTGTGTGTGTGTGTGTGTGTGTGTGTGTGTGTGTGTTTGTGATTATGTTTGGTTTGGTAGGCCTATAAATCAATATGTGATAAATTTACAACATACTTGAAGTATACAGACATTAAGGATTACATTTTCAAGAAAGTTCACAAATGTGCAGTGTTTGCGATGGAAATGTTATGAAAACAGTGCACCAATTAAACGTTTGTAATGTATCTTCACTCGAAATTTAAAACCCCCAATATAAAGGAATCGTAGCACAAAGGATGGAAAATCAAGCATTTTATTCTTTTGTCTCAAGCTTTCATTATAAAGATTGTAAAATCTTGAATCACTTTTCTTTTTAACTGTGGGAAATTTTTGGGGTCGTGTTTTTATTTCATAATCAGTCTCGTTCAGTCGTCATTTGGCGTAAGTTAATATAGCGTCAATGTTTTAACTGTTATTTGTAAAGTTTTTGTTGTGTTGTTTTTTTAATGGATGTCATATTTCTCGCTTAACAAAGGTTGTCAAACCTCTGCAAATTACACTCTGTCTGAGGTCTGTATGTACAAAATACTGTTTTACGTCAAAGATTCTGTATAACAAGAATGGTTCACTTCTCTCCTTTAAACGATTAAAAAAGCGTCCTCAACATCCGGAGGTGCCCTCTTCGAAAAAAGCGCCCACTTTACGAAAGGAGTTATCTTACTGTGTGGGAAAAAATCAAAGGGAAACTAACAAGTTTTTGTTCAATTATAATAAAAATTTCGGAACAGCGCCTTTTTAAATAGTTACGCTAACAAAAATCCTCTTCAGATGAAAGGGGCGACAGTTTTCTTCGTTTAATTTGGCTTAGAACGAGAGGCGAGATGCCATTAAAATATAATAAACTCAAAACTCCACACTGGGCGAACCTGAACAGCTGATGCGAAAAGGGGTGCTATTCCTATTCTTTTTCTGGAGAAACGAAAGGGAGCTTTATAACAAAGACTGCAGCGACATCTGAACCAATGCGCGGACTTCCGCGGACACTTTTTTGGTCGAGTGAACTATCTTGTTATGTACCATCTTTGTTTACGTCCAAAATCTAGCCCAAACGAATACATGGATTCCGAATACGCCCTATGGCTTATAGAAATAGTGCGTATGTTTGTATACGTCATCGTGCACCGGCTCCCCCAGCAGCTGGCCCACTGGTGATGACGTCATCGTGGACATTTTACCAGAACCAGTCCATGAACATCCAATAGGGCCACTGGTTGTTGTTATTGTATGATGCTGGGGAAATGTAAGAGAGAGAGAGAGCTGTAAGTTGTGTGCATAGGAACTGTTAACATCTTTGAAATGGTGCGAAATACATAGATTTAGTCCCATTCGTAACTTTGAAGTGACATTAGAATTGTGACTACCC